CTATATACACACACACACACACACACACACACACACACACACACACACATTGTATTCTGATTGAATGCAATAAAAGATAGAGTTTCGGAGACTCCGTATCATCTCAAACGCCAGATCAAGAACTCGAGGTACCTTTTCTATTTTTTCTTTTATGGATGAATATCTGATTGAGTCCAAAGTTTGAATTGATTGTGAGATTTTTTATGATTTGGAATTAATGAAATTGTTTCTTGTGTCTGATATGTAAAAAATGGATTGTTGGATACAATGTGTGTAAAGAAGTTAAATTCCGTGAATGCTTGAGAATGGTTTTTAGCTTATGATGTTAATTGAATTTATAATTTTATTTTATTTGGGTGTAATGTGTGTGTATGAAAATGTAATTGGTACATCGTAGGAAAGTGAACATTTTGTTATTCATTGAAGGTTTGAGTTCTTCCCTTCTAAAGATTCCTAAAAATTAAAAAAAAAAAAAAAATCATGCTTGGTTTGATTGATGGTTGTAGTCGATGAAATTGATGCCTCTATCTTTGATGGTTTGAATTAGTTCTAAGTTTTTTTTTTTTAGTTCTATATTCTTAAGGGTTTAATTTTTTGCTTTTAGTTATGTAAAAATCAGAAAATTTCATATTTAATTAGTTCAAGGTTAGAGTTGGCGTGTTAAAAAAAAACGGAGACACGACCTACGGAGACAGAGACGAATACATGAGATCCGTGTCTCCGTGGCTCACGGAGACACCGTGCACTCGTGTCTCCGTTACGCACAGAGACATGGCACCATGTCTCCGTAACACACAGAGACATGGTGTCTTCGTGACACATGGAGATTTTTTTTCTCGATGATTTTGGATATAAGTTTTCCTTTTTTTCTCAAATAACAATTCCTTTCGGGGTCATCGCTCCCGAGCCCCCACGAGAGGTGCTGCCCTCTCAACCTCTGCGATCTGACCAGGCATGTCGATCCTGTTTTGAAGCGGCAAACCATTTCAATAACAACACTAAACAAATAAATAAATTATGAAAAAATATATTATCTCCAAACTAATAGGAATCTCAGTATTTTCAATCTCTAATTTCTTGACGATTTGATATATTATTTTTAGGAGTTGGTCTTCTTGTTAGATTATATGATTAAAAATTCTGGAAATATGTAATTTCCTCTTGTTTCAATTGAAATACTATTAAGCCTATATAAGCCAAACTTTATCCATCAAGCAGTAGGGGTTATCATACACAAAGGATTTAGCACCAATAACTCGGCCAAATAAGATAATAATATGAACTCCAAATTTGATCCGGTTATTAATTAATCTCAACCAACTATTAACATAGCTAAAAAGCCCAAATCACAAAACTAAAAATAAGAAAGAATTAAATCAAAAGGAATTTCTGCATAATGAAAATGGAAGAGAACAATAATTTAAAAGACGAGGATGGAAATAGAAGTTTATACCTTAAAACACCAATTGCAGGTGATTAAGAAGAGGAGCTTTAATTTTCGGTTGGCGGTGTTTATTGGCAAGGGACGATGGTTGAAATTTATGTGGAGTAGTGAGAAAAATAAACTGGAATATGAAAGAATGGGTGAGTGAGAGAACATCAGGTCCAAATTTAATTATGAATTCATTCGGGTTCGATTCCATTGAGTTCGGTTCTTGGATGGTTCTTGGATTCCGGACAATGGTTAATTTTTTTTATATTACAACAACGCTACATTAATTCGACTATAATATGTTCAATCTTAATTCTTACAAAAAAATGTAATCCAATCTCTTGATATCTTTTGCACATCTCTTTATTAAGTTCTTCATAAATTTGACTATTAAAATCACAGGAAGGAGAAAAGTGTAAGTTCGCAATAATATAACGGCAGAAACAACACTACAGTATAATAAGAGATTTGAGTAAAACTTAGGTCAATTTGATTAAGTTGGGCTTGGCTGTAAATTAGAAATAGTGAAATTATATTTAGGGTTTGAACTAAATTAATAGTTAACAAATTTATTTTTTTAAAAAAATAATTTGACTTATTTAAGATAAAAAAATTAGAGAGATTCGATTCTTATTCGATTTTTGAATTGATTCGGTTCGATTCGAACCCGATTCGATTCGAGAGTTTTAACCAGCCCTAAGTGAGAGAAGAGAAAAAGGAGGGAATACATTTACGGTGAAGAGAAATGGGTGTCTTTTTAGTGGAATTGGAAAGTATAAATGCATTTAATTTATTTTTTCTTTAAAACAAAATTTTGCCAAGTCAGCTGTGCCACTGTACAGTCACCGAGACTGAGGTTCAACCATTTAGTTAACATTGAATCACTTAAAATTTAGTCCTTGTTTGATCTAGCTTTTTTAAAATTACAAGTTGATCAAATTTTATTTTTAATTACACATTTCATCAAACTCATAATTTTATTCACTTTTTAAGCATACATGCACAATTTATTATCTCACAAAAACTGGACCAAACAGGTACTTATTATCAATATAAAATAAAAGAGGCAAAATATTGGCACGCTACGTGTCACGATTTCTTATCGTCGTCAAAATTCAATTTTTTTTTCCGCCGTTTCCCCCACACGCTTTGCTTTCTCCATTTCCCCCACAAATTTGGCACGCCACTCCGTGTTTGCTCTTTCTCTATTTTTCCACTCAACCAACCATACCTATTTATTCCTCCATTCCCCACAATGACCCATATTGTAAGATTTCTCCTTTCTTTTTCTTTTTCTTTTTCTTCTTTTTTTTTTCCATACGCTACATGTTGCTCTAATTTTGTCAAGAAATTTNCTTTTTTACTTGAATATGTTACAGGCAATTTCGGACAATATAAGCCATTAATCGGTACAATATGTGCTTAATATATATATATATATATATATATATAGACACACACACACACATTGTATTCTGATTGAATGCAATAAAAGATATAGAGTTTCGGAAACTCCCTATCATCTCAAACGCCAGATCAAGAACTCGAGGTACCTTTTCTGTTTTTTCTTTTATGGGTGAATATCTGATTGAGTCCAAAATTTGAATTGATTGGGAGATTTTTTATGATTTGAAATTAATAAAATTGTTTCTTGTGTCTGATATGTTAAAAATGGATTGTTGGATACAATGTGTGTGTAAAGAAGTTAAATTCCGTAAATGCTTGAGAATGGTTTTTAGCTTATGATGTTAATTGAGTTTATAATTTGATTTATTTGGGAGTAATGTGTGTGTGTATGTAAATGTAATTGGTACATCGTAGGAAAGTGAACGTTTTGTCATTCATTGAAGGTTTGATTTCTTCCCTTCTAAAGATTCCCAAAAATTTAAAAAAAAAAATCATGTTTGGTTTGAATGATGGTGTAGTCGATGAAATTGATGCATCTATCTTTGTTGGTCTGAGTTAGTTCTAAGTTTTTATTTATTTATTTATTTATAGTTCTATATTCTTAGGGGTTTAGTTTCTGCTTTTAGTTATGTAAAAATCAGAAAATTTCATAGTTAATTAGTTCAAAGTTAGAGTTGGCGTGTTAAAAAAAACGGAGACACGACCCACGGAGATGGAGACACGAGATCCGTGGCGCAAGGAGACACCATGCGCTCGTGCCTCCGTTACGCACGGAGACATGGCGCCATGTCTCCGTGACAAACGGAGATTTTTTTTCTCGATGGTTTTGGATATAAGCTTTCCTTTTTTTCTCAAATAACATTTCCTTTCGGGGTCGTCGCTCCCGAGCCCCCACGAGGGGTGCTGCACTCTCAACCTCTGCGATCTGACCGGCATGTCGATCCTGTTTTGAAGCGGCAAACCATTTGAATAACAACACTAAACAAATAAATAAATTATGAAAAAATATATTATCTCCAAACTAATAGGAATCTAAGTATTTTCAATCTCCAATTTCTTGACGATTTGATATATTATTTTTAGGAGTTGGTTGTTAGATTATATGATTAAAAATGACACAAAAATAACAATCAAATTTCTCATCATTAGAACTTTAAACTAATGTAATTAGGTTCCTAACACAAACAATTTGAATCTAAACAAATAACTAGTTAAAATGTGTCAAGCATGAGTAATTAACTCTTCATTTAAGACTCCTAAAACATTTACTACATAATATAAAAGAAAATCATTAAATCATTGATTATATTTAGTTAAGAATACATTTATTATGCAATGAATTCCAAATCTTCATATGAAGAATAGAAAAGATACAAAGAATATAGATGACAAGTGAGTTCATTCGAATTAACTTGTGAATAGCTTTATGTTTACGAATGATTTTTTCTAAAATTTACATATATTTATTTTCAACATTAAACAACTAACGTTCAATGCACGTTAACCAAACTAGTATTCATAAAAAGCCAGAATATAGTTTGTGTCCACATCCACACTAGAAGGAAAATGTCTTCTTAACACTTCGTCTATGAAAATTGCTCTAACCGTTTAAACTTTTAACCAACATGGTTAAAAATTAGTAATTAACTGAAAAAGGCTATACTGTGTTAATATATTCTATGGCATTCTATCTTTAGGAAAAAATAATAATAATAATAATAATGTTAAAATATATTAAAAATCAACCGACAATGGAAAAGAATATTTTAGTCAAATATTTTATTCTTAACAAACAAATAACGTAATAATCGCCCAACAAAACCCATTTTTTCTTCCCCTTCCAATGCATATCAAAAAATTAAAGTAGAATTCTCTTTTCCAAGGCAACAAATTTCTCAATGTAAAATAATTTATGTACTAAATTGGATCTTCTCCAGGTTGTTTCTTTGTCTATATTCTCAGAGTGAAAAGTGGAAGAAAACTATAGTACATGTTTGGTACGTGGTGAACAGTGCAACGAGCAAGATTTTAATTTCTTTTTCTCCATTGATAATGTCCAATGTCGTATAGTTCAACGTACTAAACACGCCAATAATATATATGCATGTGCATTTACCTATGTTCCTTCTTGTTTACGCCTCTGGTTATGATTTACCAAAAGTTCGGCATACAGGATTTCATTCCAGGCATCAGGCACGCCGGGAAGGCACCAATGACTACAATCTTGGACTCTTAATAGCAACTTCTTCTCTGCGCTCGACAATTTTTGTTTCCTATATATCGATGGGTGGCCATCCTTTCGATAATCAGTCATTCTCGTGATATTGAGATATTTTACAGGAGTTTTCATTCCTTTCAACACTCTTTCCAAAACTGTCATCTTCGGTGGATACTGTGTGAGATACGTCTCATTCTTGATCGGCTCAGTTTCATGATCACACTGTCCACCAGAATTCCACTGCCCACCACTGAGAAGAAATAGAAAATCATTCCAAATATAGATAAATATTAGTTTTATGTGTAGACAATAATGAAATCAAAGATGCTTAAAACAAAAAAAACACAAATGGCTATCAATGCCTGCATAATGCACAATTTCAAGTTAGTTTCAATGCTGAAGGAAAAATAGGGCATGTTTGGCTAAGCTTAAAGCAAGTAAAAAACTTTACCTTACTATGAATGACTTATTTCCAACTTTCACCCAAAAACCTATATTATTTATTTACTTATATGTGAACTTTTTAAGCTTATGGCATTCTTCATTCCCAATCGACATTGACTGCACATCAACCAAGTAAACAACCCGACCAAGACAAGGAATATCGTTATTTACAGTAAGAACGGAAATTTTAATACTCTCAAGCCATTGATAATATTAATATCGTAGCATTTTGTTACCTGAAATGAACTTTTGAATAACCCCTGAAGAAAACGAGCGTCTTCATGGGATTTACATTTGCATCAACCCATCTTCCCCATGTTGTTAAGGCTTTCCTAAATGCTTCAAGGACATTCAACTCACTGTACACATGGCTGCCTTCTTGATAATAGTCCTTCCTGAAACGTTCGATATTGTTTGGGATACATTAATAGCCACTCGACTACAAAATTGCATAACCGTAGTAGACTGATTGTGTATGCTCAAGTCAGAATAATTTTTACCCTTTGGAAGTTTTATCATGAGTCCACCAATGTCCCGTGTTGAAGACTATGAAGTCTGCATTTTTATATTTATCAGCAGACCTTCCAATTATATCCAGTCGAAGTGTTTCCTTTCTCGTCCTATTTTTGTCTGTAACTTCCCATTCTTGAACCAAGAAAGGAGATACAAAGAACTCCACTGTGCATTTATAATCCTATGAATTATAACAATCGGATGACAGAAAAAGACACGTAAGTTCAGATATAGGCGATGATAAAAAAATCTCATTCGGACGGAAAAAAAATTAATTCAACAACTTACTTCAAATATAAAGGAATAAGAAGCTTCATTTCGAAAATGGTGCCTGCCAAATTCTTCATAAACTTTACTCTGATCTTTGACAGAGTTCTTCAGAATGCAAACAAGAGATTCCCACATATTCCTATTGAGAGAATCGCCAACAAACACTAATCGCTTTCCTCTCAACAATTCCAGCATATGACTTGCATTCAACCTGGATATTTGGGTGTACAATACTATTAATTTGTCCCGAACGAACCATTTGTTCCGAGACACGGAGATTAATATCAACATTGCTAATCAATTGAAATAAGCATTAGAACAACTTTAAGCCCTGAAAATCGTCGATGATGAACAAACCAAGTAATGGATATGGAATTGAAGAAAAAACTTGAAATGTCACTCAAGAAATGTTCAAATGGAAGCCTAATCATAACTATAAACTCAGTTGTACACTAGGAATTTAAGGTTGCATTTTCATTTTCAATCGTGATACAGACTGAAAGGCATGATTTGACCATTATAATCCTCTTTCCATAGTACTACAAATGTATGTTTGCTCGGATGTGTTTCTAATTTCGTTTCTGCTTACTGACAATTCGACAAATTATTTTAAGAAAAACAATATGAACTTGGCGAACAATAGATTCAATAATTACAAAATTCAGAGAAGTTGATTGAATGTACCTTGGAACGGTGCAACCCTTTGGCTTCCATCTAAGTTGGTGATAGCCATTGTCAGGCCTACCATTTTGAAAACAGTTGAATTGCTCATCAATCAATGAACAAGAACCAGGTTTGTACAGTGGATAAGAATCATCTCCCACCCAATGCCCATCAAACAGATCACAATTCATCAATGACTTGATTAAATCATCACTTCCCTGTTTTGACGAAACACTCGAATCAGTAGCATTACTCTTCTTCTTCATCGAAGAAGAAGTTAAATTCTTGGCCACCCCATTCTCAGTAATTCTGTTGTCTCCATTTCCAGTAACATTTTTTACTCCAGAACCAGAATTTTTAGATGAATTCGCCGTCTGATTTGCAGCCACAGGAGATTTTGCGACCCCAGTTGAACTCTGATTCGTCTTCAACTCTTCAGTTTTGCCATTTAATTGTTTACTTTGAGTCTGATTCTTGGAAATTGAAGACCCTCTATTCAATTCAGAAGAAGACTTGGATGGTGAAGTACTATTGACAATCTGTCCTGCAGTAGGCTCCTTGGGCAAAACTGTACCATTATTTTTCTTCAAAACTTCAACTTTATCATTTATTTCTTGATTCTGGGTCTGGTTTTTTACAACTTTGGGTTCTACATTCAAATTGGGAGGTTGCAAATTGGTGTTTTTAGATCTATCTTCAGGATTGTGAACCTGGGTTGAGGAATCTGGGAAAAAATAAGAGAAAATTGAAGAAAAGTGAGATCTATGAGAATCATCAGATAAAATTGACGATTTTGAAGTGGCAGTGGAAGTGAAAATGTTAGTGAACCAGGGGGAAGAAGAGCTTGAAGAGGGAGCAAAAGCAAGAAAAATGGTAAAGCCAATAAAAACAAACACAAAGCCATATGCAACAGTTCTTTTGGTTTTTTGAAAAGAGAAATGGCTTTTGAAGTCTGATATCAAGGTTCTGCCATTGATGGGTGCATATTTTGTTACATCTGCCATCTGCAATTCCCAGAAATCCCAGATATGTGTGTGAGAGATAAAGAAGCAGATTAGGAATTACAAAGAGAAAGCCAGAAAAGAGATGATGATAGAGGGGGGAGGGGGGGTTGAGAGAGAGAGAGTTCTAGTTTTAACAAAGATTAGGAATTACACAGTAAATGCAAGAGAAGAGATTACAGTGGAGAGTGAAATTTTGTGATGCAAATAGTGAAATAGATAGGACTCTTCACTCTGGAGAGAGAGAGGTACAAAATTCAAAGACTCGTATATTAGTTTTCAATAAGTGTGATTCGTCTAAAATTGAAATTGATATGTAGTATATTTTAGGATAATTAGGTAATATAAGGACAAAATCTTTATAAATAAGAACACCCTTTACAAGATGATAAAATTCTCCAACTATGACCATTTAATCGTATTGGATTGGTTCTCGAGTAGAAGAAAATGGAAAACTGATTGTCAAAAGCCATTTGCGTGTGGACCCGTACATTGCAATTGTACCGGTTTCACAAGCATCGAGTCAATCATACCGTGTTATGTTCGTGTACGTGCCTCAAATCTTGACAAGAGTCTTCCATCCCATTAAGAAATTTTAAGTCTGCATTTAGGTAGTGAGATCCATGGAAGGGGTCGATAATTTGTCATGATCGTGACAATAATAACTTTTATATAGACACTAGTCCATATCTCATATAAATCGGACAAATCGCATAAGAATTTGATTTTAAGATATGATCCTAAGCAATGAGCAGAATTAAAGGCTCGTTCATTCCCAAATGAATTACATAAATCATGCAGAGCAGCAGAGGTAATGAACTCAATTTCGCGACCTTGAGATTCTTATCATTATGAGCATGTTTGGCAACGCTTATATACAATTTAAGCTGGTCAAATATATTTTTTATCCATACATATGATTCATATCTTATTATTCATATATTTCGTAGAATTCAAAATTTATGCTTGATTAATAATTTGATATCTTGAGAGTTAGGGCGAACAAACTAAGAACTAATATAATATAAAGATCACCTTAAGTATTTTGTATGGAATGGTTTAAAATAATGTCGTGCTGATATTTGAATCTTAAGATCAATAGTTGGTATACAGTATTCGACCCTTCATCGAATAAAATATAACTAACAAGATTTTATTTAAATTTTTTTTAAATATTTATCAGACAATTTAGTCTAAGAAAAAAGGCAAAAGGAGTCATGTTTCATTGACATTAGGCTGCGCATTATTGCCGACCACCGACGACAAAAAGACAAAATTAGATTGAAATATGACACCCATTTAGACCTGTCACGCATAACCTCCTCCATTTGGATTTATTTTATTCACGGGCTTTTCTAATAAAAAATTCAATTGAATATTGCAAATGAATTTCGACAAGCAAAAATAATAATTTTGGACTGATTCTTATAATTTTGTTTTCATAATTACCATCAATAGAAAGATTAGCGCAGATCTCTAATTTTGAGAAGGAAGAACGGTAGGAGGAGGGTCTCTCTAGTAGATCAAAAAGTTTGTTCTTTAATCAACTTAAATTTATGAGATTAAATTTTTGTCTTGCTTTACTAATTGATTTGGAACCTCAAGTTTCTTATCAATATTTTTTTTTATAGATGTTGCAATGAGCGGCAAAAGAATTATTCATATAACTTATTTCCATTTTTATATTTTTTAGATCTCAAGTGTAAAGAGGAGAACTCGAATTAAGATTAGGGAAAATTACAATTGAGGTACTAAACCTTTCAGTTAGTTGTAGACTTTGTCAAAACTTTTCTTTCATACCACACACAGTATCAAACCTTTAAAAAATCGCAACTACAATCCTCATTGACGGTTTCCGTCAGTTTGACCACGAAAATTGTTAGTTGACCCCAAAAATTAAAAAAAAAAATTATAATTTCCACCAAATAGACAAAAGCAATTTCGAAATTATACACTTTCCCTTTTAAAATGAAAAAAAAAAAAGCCGATTACACTCCATTCCATCATCCATTATAGAACATGTGAAAATTCACGAAGAAGAAGACGTTCAATACGAAGATGATGATGATCTTCCATCAGATTTTGCAACCCATATTCGAGGCTCTCTTCCCCAACATGTATACAGTAAGTGTGCACCCTGAAATTCCCACTTGCGATTGAAACAATGTGATTACAAGCCGTGCGTATAGATTGTCGTCCATACTGAAAATGTGAATTTTGCATGATTTGATAACTTGGAAGTTATCGTGAGGTGTAATAGATTGTTCTGTACATGTGCATTACTCCAACAAAAAAGGGTTAGTGCTTGATTTTATTTTATTTTTTCATTTTTTAAGGAAAAATACAAAGTATTTTAGCATATGCCTACATCATGGTAGAGCTTTATTGGAAAAAATGAGAAATTTTGTGTACAAGCATGGCAAAGTAGATTACATAGACTATGTCGACCCTAATTTCTTCAACAGATTTCTTCTTGACAATGTCATGAAGATGATGGGATATTCTAGTTGAGTCAGATATCTGTACAAGATGGAAAAAAAATAATAATCAAATTTGGTCCAAAATAGATATATTTTGGGGTGGAAAATAGATCACATACAGATGGTTTTCTGCAAAATCTATTTCGGGGTGGAAAATATGTTGTAAACCTAAATCCCGCGCCCCGTTCAAATACGGTGAAAATTCCTTATCCCTTTGAGTTGGCAGGACAGGTTCTGGGCGAGGATGGATGGAGGGTGCTCCGCCCCACCACGCCACAATGATTCAACGTTCTTTCGTATAGAACACATTGACACGACAGTGGTAAGTGAGGGAGGATAGAATTCACACTTTAAAGAAAAATAGAGGTAGTGGGTGAAATTTATTCTAATAAAAAATAGGTTACGTACAAGACATGTTACACTTTGATAGGCTGTTTTAATTTAGTAGTCTTATGTGCACAAAAGATGAAAATTGAAGATTTAAATGTTAAGTAAAGACTAATTTGGTTTAGATGAGACACTAAGCCCAATCTTAGCTCATATTATTAAGGGAAAAATACACAACTACAATACTTAAAAATTAGTTGTAAATAAAGTAATATTTATGAATGACTTTTATACTCATACAACCATAGTTATTATGATTGTTGTGTTACTTGTAACCATAATTTTTCCCTATAAATGTGGGATTTTGGTTCTTAATAAATAAGCAATTTTATTGACTTCTCTCTATTTTTCAAATTAAAAGGTGCGTAACCAAGTATGTCGAGAGCACTTCAAAATGATATCAAGAACTTTTCCCACCTTTGAGAATTCTAACCCAAAATTGACTTGGCAAAATGGGCCTACACAAAATTTTCTCTCTTTTTCAACAAGTAATGGCACTCCATATGCCACAAACTTGACAACTAACAAATGTTTGACATTTACAGGGTATGTTTGATTATATTTATTTTTCATGAAAAATATCAATTTTTCACCAAATTTCTATTTTGGAGTGTTTGATTATTATTTTTTTTTCCATTAAGCTGAATAGTCAGGTCTTCCACAAATTTGGTCTTGTTGATTGGAGGGTGCTGCCATTTCCCTCTTAGCCCGTAATAGACCTAGAATAAGCTCCCTAGATCTCTCGCACATAGGAGGGTCACACCACACGAAAAAGGTACATCCACCCAGATCTTGGCTTCGAGGACAAGTGAGAAATCTTCTTCATGGGTTTAGTTTCGTCCATGAGGTCTTCATCTACGTTGGGGAACCACATCTGCATATATTCATCTCCATCTGCTCTCTAATTTTTCCTAAAAAACTACGGGGGAGAGAATGATATTAATAGTGGTTAAAATGGAGAGAAAGTGAACAGTGAAGTGCAATAATAGATAGGGAAAGTGTGTAATCCCGAAATTGCCTTTGTCTATTTGGTGGAAATTATAATTTTTTTTAATTTCTGAGGTCAACTAACGATTTTCATGGTCAAACGGATGAAAACCGTCAATAAGGACTGGAGCTGCGATTTTTTTAAAGGTTCGATATAGAGGGTGGTACAAATGAAAGGTTTGGACAAAGTTTGCAACTAACTAAAAGGTTTAATACCTCGGCTGCAATTTTCCCTTAAGATTATTATGTAACTTTTAGTCCAACACAAATACATGATCATGTTTGGCTAAGTTTTTTTTTTAAAGGGTTTTTCACTTGTATTCTTAAAAGACATAATTTATTACTTTTTATTTGGACTAGTCAAAATTGAACTTTGAAATGCTTTATAAATGTTGTAAAAGTAATACTTGATACCAGTTTGTTGTGAGGATCTGACGAGTCTCAAACGAACTAAAGAAAATAAAATTTAAGATAGAAATTTTAAAAAATGAAATTGTACTATTAAAACTCAACTTTTATGATTCAAATTTTTTGTGATGATGAAATACTACAAATAAACAACTTTTTTATATCATTTGGTTCATAAGAATTAATTGTTAATACATACATTTAAACACCCATTAAAATTCATAAATACATGAATAGAAACAAAACCATCCATAATAACTCTAAATTCATATAGATAAAAGATTCATCAAATCAAGATTCATTAACTTTAAATTAATGTGAATGTTAATTAATTTCATACATAACAAAAAATTTCTAGTATTTATTATATATTGAAAAACGAAAAGTAAGGTGTTTTTGAAATAATTGAATTTAGTAGAGTTAAAATCGTTTAAAAAAAATTCTCATTTGATGTGATATTTAATATATTAAAAATTTACATTATTTTAAAACTTATTCATTTGTAACTTTTCTAGCTTAGCCTTAACAAAGTTTTATTTGTTATCTTTGGATCCATATGTCATGTTACTTTATTATTTGGAAAAGGCAGATTAATTTGCGCAAAAGTTTTAACGTTAGAAAAATTAGTCGCACTCTTACGTAGTTTAAAAGTCTTAAAGAGTCTATAATATATAATGTAGGACGGGTTTTTGAGGTATTTTTTGTGGCCAAAACATTGCCAGTAACTTGAGAATTACTTCGATGTTAATTTGTGGCTAAACTATTGCCATCAACTTTAGCTGTCATCCTTAAATGGTTCTTTGATGCATGTCGGCTGTGCTTGGATAAGGTATTTGTTGTTGGGTTTGTAAGGAAAAAAAATGGCAATTCATTAAAAACATGATGTTCGTATTTTAAATTTTGAAAGCGTGTTTTTGAAAGTTAATGATGTTCGAGAAATGAAAGGTTGGGTTTGAGGACCCGTTGGTCGAAGGAAATGGAAGGTCTTGATTCCGGAATAGAAGTTTTAAACAAAAAAAGAGAGAGGCATGTAAGTCGAGTGATGAAAATCAATTAGGGGGTGTTTGACACCCATTTTAATAAAAAAATTAGTTTTTGAATAGTGATTGATGGAAGAATGTGTGGTTAAAAAGTAAGGAGAATTTTTTGGTTTATGTGTAATATTATTTTATTGATAGAATGTGTGGTTGAAATGAAGAAAGAGGAAAAAAAAATGAGAATGAGAATAAAAAAAAATGAGTGTCAAATTGGGGCTAAATGTGTTGAATCATTAACTCGAAAGAAACTTGTAAAAATTTTGTTTTAGTCAAATCAGTTAATCAAAAAAGCTATCAAGTCGCGAAGAAAGACTAGTAACCAAAGGTGTAAAAGATATTTACTAAGATCATGTTTGGTTCACATTATTTTTTGCGTTCTCATTCTTTTACTAATTTTCAACCACACATTCTTCAATAAAATAATATTTTCCATCACATCAATAACTTTTCCTTATTTTTCAACCACATATTTCCCATCACATCAACGGTAAAAATGTATTCTTACCTTCAAAATGTGCACCAAACAGGGGCTAATATTACGTATGCTCTAGCCGTATTTTTTGTATGTATATATAGGATATAGGTAGAATACAAAAATGTAACATGAGTGAATTTTCTTGACCAAAATATCTTAGATTGACAAAACTAAAAGATAATTCATACATAGTATTCCCACTGAAATATATTATCAGCTCCAAAAATCTTATCTTCTTCCTCTTCAACGGGCAAGGAAAAGAAAGAATGTCAATATTATTACCAAATTCACAGATTCTGTGCAGATCAGAAATCCAACAGCAGCAGCAGTTATCGAGCAATACCGCAAATGGCTTAAAGTCGTATGGGTTCGGATTTGATAGAAGTAAAAGTGATCAGTGGAAGAAAATTGCAAAGAAAGATTTGATCAAAGCGTATAGTTTTTGGCCGGATTTATCAAGACCTGCTGCTGTTGAAATGGAACCAATTCAAGATTCTGAGCAATTGGATAAAGTTTTGGATAGAGCCAAAGACCTTTCACAACCCATTATTATTGATTGGTATCTCCATCTCTCTCTCTCTCTTTTACCCTGTTTTCTTTCGTTATCCAGTTGATGCGATGCCCAATTTTCTTTTCTGTACTTGGATGGGATGCAATCTGAATGGTATATTGCTTTGCAAATACAAGATAAATGTGACTTCAAATGAATTTGTAACAGGATGGCTAATTGGTGCCGGAAATGCATCTATTTGAGGCCAAAATTGGAGAAATTGGCAGCCGAGTTTGACACCAAGTAGGTTCTTCTTCTTCTACTAATGCGGTGCCTAAAATTTGACGGGTTTACCCTAATATTTCATTTAGCAGAATATTTGACTTCAAATTTTTTTCTTAAGATAGGCTCAAGTTTTATTGCGTGGATGTCAATAGCGTGCCTCAAGCATTAGTAAAGCGTGGAAACATCTCTGTATGTATATGTTTTCATTGATTATGCTTTCTTATAAATTCATATTTGGCTACTAACAAAATTTCAACTCACTCGTTCAGAAGATGCCAACAATTCAGGCGAGTTTAATCCTTCGAATTAAGTATTGAGTTACTGACAATTTAATAAGAGTAATGGCGAGCGATTAATATTATATGTTTTACTATTTTGCATTTGCAGCTATGGAAAGATGGAGAAATGAAAGCAGAAGTGATTGGAGGGCACAAAGCTTGGCTTGTAATCGAAGAAGTTAGAGAAATGATAAAAAAATTTGTATAATTTCAAGGGAGTCTTTTGCATATTCGTGATTGTACAGTGTTAAACAATTTTTTAAATCTAGTTTCGTTGTCCATTAATACTTTACTTTTAGAAAATAACTAGAGAGTAGAACTCTTAAAAAAAAATAAAACGTCGCCTGAGAGATTCGAACTCTCGCGGGGAAACCCCATGTACTTAGCAGGCACACGCCTTAACCACTCGGCCAAAGCGACAGCTTTCGTCAACATGGACAGTTCCGATTACTATTAAGTATGTGTCTGGCATGGATTCTGGCCAAATTTTAAATGAAATTGGAGCCATTGGGAATTCTTGGGAAATTGGATAGCTGTATTATTTTGACTAAAAATAAATTGAATTATCGTAAATGCCCTCCTTTCAATTTCAGGTATTAAATGTCAAAAGGGTGAAAGTGTAATTATGTCAAATCTGGTCAATTTATGTGGCTGTCAATTCACTTATAACGGTTGAAAAAATACTAACAATTTGGGCTAAATTCGGCACCAGACAAGGTCTTAAGTATGATTTCTGTGCGTTCTTCACCATTTCGAGAGCGAGTGTAAACGTTCTTTGCTTCTTTCTTAGTAATTTAGAAAAACAAATTGTCGACCCCAATTTATGAGAAGCTTTTGGAGACTCCTTACAAAATCAAGTGTATATAATTATACCCAACACTTCTCTTCAAGAAACATGCCAAATTTATAGCGAATTGAATGAATCAGTCAACGAAAATTTCTTGATTCAGTTAAATATATTTATGTTTTTCTTAATTGTATTGAGATTTTAATTTGATATATTTATGTTTTGGAATTTTAGTTTTACATCACTACATGAAACAGTTCGATTTTGAAAATGAAAAACTATAATTTGAAAGTAATATGTTCTCAAAGTAAAAGAGGAATTTATAATGATAACAAAGCTGAATGCATGTAGTGGAGTGAAGCACCTACATTTACTATGCATGCAACAAAAACATATATCAAATAGAAGAATGGAAGCACAATATCATCAACTAATTCCTCCCTGCAACTAGAACAGACCATAGCCACGATAGAACAATTACTTTGGCATATTCAGTCACTAAGACAGCCAAGTACGAGAAAGAATCAGAAGCATTCTGTTTTGTCTTCTAAATGTTAAAACCAATCAACAACGTAATTGGGTATTTAGGGGGAAATTTTGCAGATACATCTGTTGGGTACGACAACCACAGAAGTATGGCCTATTGTCAACGAAAATCCATAAAGTTGAAGTTTTAAAGATCATTTAGCTAAATTTCAAACTTGAGAAATTTTGGGATAAGAAAAATCATATTCCAAAACCAAAGACTGCCCGAATCTTGTGGAAAATAAGATCACGCCATCCCCTCTCAGTATTTTCGACAACAGTAGCATTTCCATATCTGCATCATCCAATAATCAACATCAGAAATGTTCATCGTCTACGAAACCAACTAAATAAATAATCGAACCAACCTGTCTTCCTCTGGCACATCAGTGTGTGAGAGACGGACAACGGTCACCCCAGATTCAGGCTCCTCGAAAATAAGCCGCACCTGCACCATCAATCATCCACACTTCTTTAGTAGATTAACCAATGAGAATTTCCATTTGTACAGAATTCTACCAGAAAACTCAAGATATTAAGATGTATTCCACATAAGCATAAGCACGCATTTCATAAACACTACTAAACTTAGCTCTACACAGACGCAACATATAATGATCCATCTTTCCATAAGAAAACACAAATTACTCATCACATACAAATTCCCCAATGCAATTTCATTTTTACAGTTCATTGTGAACAGATAAGATTAGACATTAACGATGGCTAAGAAAAACATTTAGGGAATAACATACCGTGGACACAATGCCATCAGGCCAGCTCCCAAACCGCCACTTCTGAACAATCAACTTGCCTTCTTGCAACTCTACATTGGTCCCGGTAACTGACCCGTCAAAAATACTGAATTCTCCTCCAACCTCTTTACTTATCCGTGCATTGCTCTGCGTAAACCCCTTCCACCTATTCTCATCCATCAATATCTCATACAAATCCCTCGCCCTACAGCTAAACTTCTCACTCATTGATATGGTCTTAAACCCTTCCTTCCTTTTCTCTTTTTTACTCTCCTTTGCACTCGTATTGCTCACAGAATTGTTTTTCACAGTTTCATTACTATTACTCGCGATGGGTTTCTTTGACGCAACCTTTTTAACCTCCAAATCATCCTTCGCAGGCCCGCCTTTCGCCATTGTATCAACATATTCCCTAATTTTCTCCAACACAAACGGCTTACCCTTAGCCAAAAATGCTTCTTTCAATCGTTTCCCAATCGGCCCATCGTCCTTAATCGAAATCTTAATGTCCGGATCCTCCCCAGCATTCTCATCCGAAATATACGGCACTTCAACAGATCCCTCAGTAAGTAATACAGAATTTCTCTCAGAATCCTTTGCCTCCGCCTCATAAGAAAGAACCAGATGGAGCTCGTACCCTGGAATAATTTTACCCTTCCTGACATTGACATAGGCCTCTCCCTCGAGCTTTGTAAGCTCTTTGGTACGGATATAGAGAATGCCTTCGCCATCCAGGATTGATTTATTGCATAGAAGGTTTGTTAGGTAATTTCTCGACCATTCAAGGCAATCCGTCTCCGCCCAGTGCCAGTTGTGGACATTGGCGCCGTCGGGACGGTCCTCCACGATCCACCGCTTATCTCCCTCCCCCAATCGTGCCATTTTTGTGGGATTTACTGCGTGTGTGCGTGCGTCGTGTAAATGTGACGGCTACGGAAGATTTGAGTGGATTTTAAGAAAAGCAGAAATCTAGAGATTTCGAAGAGAAGAAGGGTCTAGATAGTGAAGAATGGAAAAATATTAATCTGATCATAAAAAGAGGGTATTTTAGAAGAGTCTAGAAGATAGGGAAAGTTGGGACAATTCTATTTGTATGTAAATAAAAGACAATGAAAGTTGACAATCTCTCACATAAGCACGGACATCGCGTGATGATAAAATTTCCCAAAAAAAAAGTGGACCCCCTATTGTAAGTGTTGGTCATCAATCATTTTACATGTAGCATTTCTCAAAGTTTTGAGCCACGCAATCATGCTACTTAGTGTAATTTGATTGACAACTTGATTGACAATCATGTAAATTGTCGCATGGGTGGAGCCAGAAAATTGGTTCAATATGGGCATAATTTAGTCGATCCTGAATTTTGAATTTTTTATCATGAATTTAATGATGATAAAAATATAAAACAGTATTACGACAATACCAAAAATGGTATAGTTTATAAATTATACTTGTTCTTTGCAAGTTTTCATACTTTAATATTATTGTACAATAACTTAATATCGAAAATTAAAACAAAAGCAAGTTAAGCCCAAATCAAATATCAAGTCAACCACTCTCAATTAAATTCACAAATCTCTAATGATCTAATCTCATCCCCTGAGCAATTCACAACTTCCAATTACTGGAAATAATTTAGAATGATAGAATCACAACTACTGAAAGCAAAAGCAAAGTAATTCACAGCGCAATTCACAAAGCATTGCTTTCACAAATCACATAGCCGACAATATTGGAACTAGAAGCTAAAGCAACTCAAGAGCAATGAGTAAGCTTCGGGCTCAGGTCAGTCTTCACCAGCTTCTAGGTCAAATTTCAAGAACAATTAAAAAGCGATTCAAGAGTAATTCAAAGAGCTAATTTTGACTGTGTAATGCCATCCATCTGTGTCCAATCATCCCAGGCGCGGAACTTTATGGAGTCAGGGGCTGAGGCAGCGAAGTAGAGGCCGAGGGGTAGAGGCGGAGGTGGAGGAGAATGAATTGAAATGGAGGCTATGCGTCTGATGTTTTGAATTAAATAGATTGGGGTGGGTAGTGGTCTTGGGGCTGTTTACATTAGGGTAGTATGTATTGATAATGATTTTGGGCTTTACTCTTGGGCTGAAAGTTGACATATTAATAATAAATAAATAAAATCCTGGGCCATGGGGTTGGGCCAAGAAGTTCAGTGTGGGCATGTGCCCACACTAGACCTCATTGGGTTCCACCCCTGAGTTGTCGGGCGATACATTCTTTTTAAAAGATAGGTCAACATAATATCACATAATATTTTGTTATTGGAGTGTTTAAAACATAATCATCATTTCCATCCATTCAGTTTCATTCACCTATACACCATCAAGAAGGATGGTAGAGATCACCTGACAAAGTAGCAAAATTCGACATTATGTCCATTTATTTGAAATGGAAAATGATAGAACTATTTACATAATGATGAGGTGTCAGAATGTAAATGAGAAATTATTTGATTTGACGGGATTTTGATTCAATTAAATCTTGTCACATCATCTGTTGATAAATCATGTAAATGATTATCTACATATAACACAATCCTTTGAAAATATTCTCTTGAAATCAATGACAAAAATCTCTTGGACACATAGATTATCAATCAAGTTGCGTACAAGTAGCTTAATTTATGTTCAAGAAAGATAACAAGGAACATCAAGAAACATGTAAATAATAATGAGTAGCAATTTTGAATGTTTAATTTAAATATGATTTTAATTGAATAGGAAATATAATATCTTAAATAGTTTCCAAACTAAATAGAATTAATATCGATACATTAAAATTTTATCCTATACTAGACATCCTATTACCACATTATGTAATTTCGTCACAACTTAACTTGATCCCTGAGTTTAGTGGCTGCATATGAACACCTGTAATAAGAGAGACTGCATAATTATTGATTGACATTATTCATGATTATAGAAGAAAATATATATTCAAAAGAAAAATGAAATGTGGTTCAATTATTAAATTTTCGTATATTATAGAAGCTGGAAAATAAATTTCATTGTTGATTGGTAGATTGGATACCGATCCTGGCTAGACGTGATATTAATAATTAAGCAAACACCTCAATGTTTCATTTTTCTGTTATCACGTCTAGCTAGATCAACAGTCATTCAAACGGTGATTTTCTTGTGAGTTTAGTGACTATCCATAAACATATCGAAGTTGAGTGAGTATAACATAACAGTATGTAAAGTTGAGTTGAGTAATGAAACTTTTTACTCATGTTTAAAGGGCTTGTCCTCGTGGCCCAATTGGATTGCATAGCAACTCTTACTTTTATTCAAGAAAATATCTATTAATACTATATATATAATCAAAGAAAACTAGCAAAATGAATAAGACATCAAAATATTAAATAATGAACGAGATAAAAGTCTACCAAATATTGGTTGGAGGTCGACTAGAGATAAAACCAATGATTTCTTTCGTCCAGTGGTACAATGAATAAAAAGAAATGGTAAACTTTTGAATCGACTTAACTATATTGTATTTTTGAATTGCTAATTAATTCCAAGATTTAAATTGCAATAAAATTTTCAAAAATGGCAACTCTTCATATATGTATAATCCATGCAGACTCACCTTACAATTTTTCCAATGAAGAAATATATTACATAAATAGCTAGGTACAAAGCAATATATTATGTTGTTTATTGTTGACTGGATTTTAGAAAAATCATAAATTAGAATAATAGCAGTTGAAAAAAGAAAACAAGTATGAACAACATTAATGTTTATATGTTCAAAGGCTTCTGGAAAATCATATATTTTTCTTATTCTGGTTTCCTATTGTCACGTGTGAAAATTGAATGGAGTACCTCTTTGATTACTCAACTCTAACTTGTCACTGTTAAACTAATTCAGTTAGGTCCGTTTGATTATAAAAATGAAAAATTGGTGGAAAGAAAATTAATTCCAGAAAAAATAATTGTCTAAAACTTGTTTTTTGGGGAATTGTCAATTAATTATATTTGATTGATATAATTTTTCACCTGAAAAATGTTGAAATTTTCTATTTTTTGATGTTCGTTTGACTTTATTTTTCATGAAAATTGTCAATTAAAGGGATATAATTTCTTAAAATTGAAGATATAATTAAGTGGTGAGAAAATGGATTCAATGAAAACATGGAAATAGGGGTTGGAAGAAAACCAATTTCCAAGAAAAAATTGGCTATCTTCCAACCAAAAAGTTGGAACTTGAAAAGTTCCATGAAAAATATGTAACATCAAACGGGGTCTTATCTCATGTGATCACCGCATTATACCATATCCCCACAAACACAAAACCAAGTAAAACTTCCTTCTCCCCTTAACACATTTTTGAGAATATATATATATATATATACACACACACACACACACGTAAAAATTGTGCTTCGTAATTCCCTTATTTTGAAATTCGAAGTAATGAGGCAAAAGTTTAAGGTTCTTCGGTAATCTAAATCAATTCAATTCTAAATAGGTTTTCATGTCATCGTGATTCAACATATTTTAAACGGAAGATTGAAATCAAAGTTGGGGTAATTGGAGAAGAGAGGCTATGACGTTAAATATTAAAATCCCGTATGAACTTGACTAAGTGATTGATTATACAATCAAATTAAAATTCAATAATCTAATTACTACAAATTGATATTGGGTGATTCAGATGAAATTTTGCGAGTATAGAAATAATTAAGGATAAGTGGATAAAGATATATACATTTAAATGATAAAAAAAAAAAAAAAAAAACTAGAGGTCATCATTTAGTTTTTATTATGATTAAAATATTCCAACTGATTAATTATTATAATATTTCTTCACAAGTTGCCAAACATTAGTACTCAAAAAATACGCCATTTTCCATTCTTTATAAAATTGAAAATTGATCCTTTAATTGAGATAAATCCAAAAATTAATTTTAAATCATTATATTTATCGATCATTAAAAATATAAAATAAATTGAGTTTGATTCGCAAGCAGGACTCACGAAGAATTTATATTTTGCTACCGAACTTGAACTGATATCCAAAAAGCAAAATAATTTGTAATAGAATAATAATAATAATAATAATGGAAAAGCAGAGACAATTTACTTCTCCTTCTGGAAAGTAAACGTCAACAGATAAAAAACAAATTATTGAATTGAACATTCAAACGTTGCGTGCACCCTAACAGCAATTAAAACAGCATCACTTCTCCCCATAACCAATGTTATTTATTTCAAAACGTTTACTTTAAAATTTAAACCCAAAAGAAATGCAGATTTTGACAAAGGGTTGCATGGTCGTCAACATTGTAGTCAAGAATCCCTCTTTCTTTGAACCCGGGTAATACGCGTTGATTCTATAAATTCTTTGTTTTTACCTTAATATGCATATGTTTTGGACTTTTTGTTGATTTCGAACTTAAATTTTTAATCTTTATATTCAAAATTGCAGTTTTAAGGTTAACAGGACAGCTTGGTTGAAAATCTCAAGTAAGGATCTCTGTTTTTTTTCTTGATTTGATAATAAAGCGCTGCAAAAGGACGATGGGGTTTAGAATCTCAAGTGGGCATCTCTTTTTTTACTTTGCTGACTTCATTTTTTTTTTCCTAAATGTTTGTGTGTGTTGTTCTTTAAATAAAATTTGGGTTTGTTTTAATGTCTGTTTTTCTCTGCCTATGGGTTTTGATTGGTTTGATGGTTTCTATATGTGGGAGATGTTTTTTTTTCTTTTCTTCTAAATGATATAGAGTTGATTGGGCATCTTACTTATTTTTTGTCCCCTTTTGAAGATCATTGAAATGGGTGATTATGCCGTCAAATTTGAAATGAATTTTATTAAATTTTCTTGTCCAAGATTTAATTCGTCCTTTATAGTGATTAGTCTATGATGATTGGAAGTTAGTGTAAATCAATTCCAAAAATGTGTTATTTGCATAATATATTTAAAAACAGAGAATATTAGGTTCAGTGATGGTAGAGGGATCGGCACTGAAAATTGTTATTGTTGGGCTATCACTTCTTTAGAGCTGTCTTAATGTATTTGGTTATTAATTAATTGATTTTGCTGGGTTTTCTTTTGTATGTTGTATGGATATACTTATGCAGTACGTTCTTTAGGTTTGAGTAAATTCAGCTTTTTGTTGTGTCGGAAAATGTTGATTCACCGGCTTTCAAATTTATATTTTCTACTTGTTTATGCAAACCTATATTCCTGACAAGGAAAGGGTGTTATGTATTTGAATTTTTCTAGATGGTTGTTGAGAGAATCTAATTTAATCTGAAAGTTTTCTTTATAATGCTACCTACCGAAATGGAAAAAAGGGTAAGTAAAGAAAGCAGGTTGGTGTTGAATGTTGATCGAGGTGTTTGGACCATCGATATAATAATACACTTGTGAAGTGTTTGGTAGAGTGAATTTGATAGTACTCGACAATATTATTAAGAAAAGAAGTTAAAATATTGTTTATTATAGTGTTGAATTCTATGCAATGCAATACCTTGTGAGAAAAATGCACTTAACGATCTACCTCAATTAGTTAGTGGCTTCATTTTTCTTATTTTCCTGTTCACCATGGCTTAGTCAAACTACCTATCCAGAGACTGTATAAGTGATATTTTGCACTGATGATTTCCTAATGCTTTCATTTTTGCATCCTTGTTCGCAGGCTATATGCATCTTTGTGAAGGACCAAGCAAGTCAGCTTATAGTCTTGGATTTAGTCATTAAGCTAGTAGTATTCTAGGGATTCTGGGTTAATAATGGCACCTGGAGGTGGAGTTTGCGAAGAGGTGATTGAATCCCGACCAAAATTCATGAATTACGAAATATCTATGGCCAAGGCAGATAAAAATAATTCTCTGGTAAAAAGTACAGCTGGTTCAGGTGAAAAACACGGCATGCCGTCAAGAAATGGCGTGCATGACCTTCTTGAGTGTCCTGAGTGCACAAGTTTAATGTATCCTCCTATTCACCAGGTTATTTCTCCAACTTTTTGACTGAACTGAAGTTCGATGTTTCTTTCTGGTGACTAGTAGAAATTTCCATATACTAAGGAAACTTGAACCTTGCATGGATGATGGAACAACTGAAACTACCATAATTTTTTTTTTAGTTCTGTATTTGACTTTATTTCATCATATATCTGAATCATTTATGGATGACTTGAAGTAGTGTGCCACCATTTTCTTCTTTTTCTTTCCATAAATTCCTTTTCATGTAGGTGACAAATTCCCATCTTCTCACAATGAATATCTCTTGCTTGTGATTATTTCAATCGCATTGGTGGCGCTTTATTCAGTGACCAGAAAGCATTTATCAAGTCTGCAGACTGCAGATGACGGATATAGCTAGCAATAAGCTTATTTTTTAAATTATTTGCACTCTCTCATAAAATTCCTGCCGAGTGACCAATTTCATAGTTCAAGGATTATTCATATGCTAATTCCTAGTGAACCTCATTTATTTGTCTATTTAAAGCATGCTTGGCTAAGCATAAAAGTAAACTTTTGAGTAACTTTTTGTTGTTGAATATATTTGTATAGGTTACTTTTCTTTATTGAGTAAATGTATTTATATTTGACACTAAGGTATGAGTTGCTTTCTAAATAAGTAACTTAGTTTCAATGTTATCCTACAATAAAGACCATTTATGTTAAAATTTATTAATTCAGGTCATTTATATACTAATTTATTTATAATCAAAACTTACTATAAATAAATATTTTAAACTCAACCAAACATGCACTCATTTTCAGATTTGTTTCACATCATATTTGCTCATCGTAGAATAGCTTTTTCGGTTTCCTGTCCTAATGGTAAATATCTTACTAGTCTTTACCTTTTTTCCCCTTTCCTCAACCTGCCAATTTTGAATTGGTAAAGCACAATAATTCAATATATGACTATTATAGTCGCTGTTGCCTTTAATATAAAGCATCATGGCATCTACTGTCCTTGGTTTGATTTCATCGTCTCGCGCAGTGTCCAAATGGTCACACACTATGTACAAACTGCAAAAGAGTGCATAAACGTTGCCCGACTTGCCAATTTGAACTCGGGAACATAAGGTGTTTGGCTTTGGAGAAAGTGGCTGAGTCATTGGAGCTTCCCTGCAGATATCAAAGTCTTGGATGTCATGATATATTTCCATACTACGGCAAGCTTAAACACGAACAACATTGTCGATTTCGGCCTTATAACTGTCCATATGCAAGCTGTGAATGCTCTGTAACAGGCGACATTCCAGCGCTCGTTGCTCATCTTAAGGAGGACCACATGGTGGACATGCATGATGGATCCACCTTTAATCATCGATATGTCAAATCAAATCCACATGAAGTCGAAAATGCAATGTGGATGCTAACTGTAAGTTGAATTTATGCTGTTGATAGAGGTAACATTATCTATTCTTTTCAAATCCATGAGAGGGTATGAATTAAATGCATATGTTACTATTTTATGAATAATATCAAAGAGACTGGCACAATCATCTAGAAGTGTAATGATTGAAATGCCCTTTAGGTTTGCTGAACTTGTATCTCAAGATTTTATTAGTGTGTTTGTCAAGGTGAATTCGACAGTACCAGATACTAAAAATCTTGTCTATCCAATTCAGTATTTTGTACCAAACATACCAAATGTTCATATCTAAGCTATTGATTATTCTATACATGTGCTTGGATATCCACTTGAAGGATATGAACCAAACAGATACGTTACTTGTTATGAATAAGCATGAAACGATAGGCAAGAACTTTCAAGGTGCAATCTAAATCCTGTCTCCGTGCAGGTATTTAACTGTTTTGGAAGACAGTTCTGTTTGCACTTTGAGGCATTTTCACTTGGTATGGCACCAGTCTACATGGCCTTCCTTCGTTTTATGGGTGAGGACAATGACGCAAAGAAGTTCAACTACACTTTGGAAGTCAGTGCTTTTGGACGTAAACTAGTATGGCAAGGAGTTCCGCGAAGCATACGTGATAGTCATATAAAAGTTCGTGATAGTCAAGACGGACTCATAATTCCTAGGAATTTGGCTCTCTTCTTCTCTGGTGGGGATAGGCAAGAACTTAAGTTGAGGATTACAGGTCGTATATGGAAAGTGTAATCTGAAAGATGGTATGTTCGGATCGACTCTAAAGTTTGTCTAAAATCTGCACACGTTTATGGATTTTACTCTACCAAAGAAAGTACCGGTATTCTGATATGCTTAAGTTTGAGCATATATTGTATTTTTTATTATTGCTCTCAGTGATACTGAAACAGATTACCTGTATTAAATTCATATTTCACTTCTGATGCTAAAAGATGCATTCATGACGATATTTTGTTGGTTCAAATCATGGCCATAAAGCCGAGGTTGAATACTCATATTTTAATACAAACAACTACTAAAATTAATAACGAATCAGTGGAGACCCAAATTAAAAAAGAACCTAGAACGGGTGATCCATATGGTGTTATTTCATTCTCTAAATGTACAATTTTGTCATCAATACCCAGATATTTCGCTTTTCAATGTAGTTATTGAGCCAGTTTAGGTAACCAAGTCCTGGAGCTATTCTTGCTTTACATTGTGCTAAACTACTATACCATGTTCAGTAGAGATGATTGAATAGTACTATATAATCTAAGAGAAAAAGAAAGTTAAAAATTATGTTAATTATAGTGTCCAATCACATCTAATACCATGGATGAAACACACCCCTAATGCATTAGAGCACCTGTATTTATGTGGCAAAAGTTAAGACCTTATGAAAGCAATAGGTCTAGTATAATGAACAAAAATTTAGCTTATGTTTCTTCCTTAGTAGTGACCAATCCTCCAAGCCAAACAGGCTTTTTAATCTCTTCTCTTTGATTAAAGCATACTTGGAAAGTGGATGAAAAACAAAAGGTTGATCATATGTTTCCTATGATTTTTAATTGCATAATAGTGGCGTAAGAATTAGAGTTCCTCCTGTAATGTACTGAAAGTTGAACCTAAAAAACCTTGCAACTTTTAAAAGGGTCTTTACCTCTGAGGCTTTAACATGATAGCGTATGGCTTTGTTGTATTTCAGGTAGTGAAACGGGATAACCAAGGCTTTCTGGTGCTGTAAGAAGTGGAGCTCCTCGGAAAGTTCTACCCATTGAGACACAGAAATGTCAATGGATGAGCTAAATAGGTTTAGTAATTTTGGAACAAAAGCTTTGACTGGAGAGGGCTCTTATGGCCAGGTTTCTTTCGCAAAGTTTAGCGATGGCCAATCAGCAGCAATAAAAAAGCTGGATACCAGTTCTTCTCCGGAGCCAGATTCCGACTTTACAGCCCAGATGAATGAAGCATTGGAAATTTTCATTTTTACTTATTTTGGGAAGACGGTGTTTTAAGGAAAGAATGGTTTCTACTTACATGATGCCAGTATCCATACTGTTATCAATGTTACCTCGGCTCAAGAATGAACACTTTATGGGTTTGCTTGGGTATTGTCTCGAAGCAAATAACCGAATCTTGGCATATGAGTATGCAATTACACGACGTTTTACATGGTTGTAGATTATGTTATAGAACTTCGATGTTTTGATGAAGCACTGTTATATCATTGGCTACTCCCTGTTGTAGGTAGGAAAGGGGTGCAACGGGCTGAACCTGGCCCAGTTCTCACATGGAATCGAAGAGTTAAGGTTGCCTATGGTGCAGCAAAAGGCCTCGAATATTTACATGAAAATTTTCAGCCCTCGATTGTTCATCGTGATGTCAGATCTAGCAACGTTCTACTCTTTGATGATTTTCTACCCAAAATTGCTTTGACCAATCAGTCTTCTGATACTGCAGCTCTGTTGCGTTCGACCAGAGCGTTGGGGACATTCATCAACCATGCTTCCAAGTAAGCTTTGATTTTTCCACCATGTTCAAAATCCGTATAACTGAATATAAAAACCATTCATTCTTCAGGTATACCATGACAAGTCAGATAAAAAAGAGACGTTTACAGCTTTGAGGTTGCTCTGTTAGAACTTCTTACAGGACGAAAGCCGGTAGTGTTAGAACTTTATTAAGAATTTAAACTTTATGATCTAGTCAAGATTTTCATATCAAACCATCGAAAAACTGAATTACCGCGGAACATACCTTAATCAATTGATTTCTGACTTGAATAATGAATCTAGA